AAAAAAAAATTCCAGCTAAATTTGCAAACAATATAGACACTAAAATAAAAGAAAAAAAGAAATTAAACTAAGCAGAAAATTATATCATATAAAAGACCCAAAATCCCCTCCCCCCAAAAAAAAAAAAAAAATTATAAAAATAGAATAGATTTAAAAAATAGAATGAAAAGAATAATATAGAAATAAATACAGTGATAAAAAATCAAAATAACATTGATAAGTAGAATGAAAAAAATATGATAGAAATAAATACACTGATCAAAAGAAATCAAAGAATGCCAGCCATGTGCGGCGCCCCCGTCCCCGCCCTCGTCCCTGTGTCCGCTCCTTTCCCCTTCCCCCTTTCCCTTTCCTTTTCCCCTTTCCCCTTCCCCTATCCCCTTTCCCTTCCCCTTCCCTGTCCCTTTCCCCTTCCCCTTCCCCTTTTCCCCCTTCCACCCCCCCCCCCCCCCGACCCTAAAGCCTCCAGGTTAAAAAGAATTGCACCTGAAAATTAACCCGCGTGTCCGTTGGAGAACTCGGTTAATTGCCTAATTGTGACGTATGTTCACCGGATACAGCGTGTGTCTGACCCCCCCCCCCAGGCGAGGTCACGTGATGGTTTGACCTCTGGATGACTCTCCCTCTCCCCCATCACCTTCTCCTCCCCAACCGCTGTCCCTTTCTCCTCCCCAACCACTGCCACATTCTTTACCTCCCCCCATCACCACCTCCCCCCCCTGCCACATTCTTTACTCCCCCCCCATCACCACCTCCCCCTTCTGACCCTTCCCCCTCCCCGCCACCTATTATCTTCTTCCTTGACCCCTACCCCCCGCCACCCCCGCCACCTTCCCCCAATGGGTATTTTATTCATTCATATTTTTTTTGTTTTTATCTATTTTGGATTTTCTGTTTGTGTTTCTGTTCCTCTAGGTGTGACTGTCTCTTTCTGTCTGTCTGTCTGTCTATCAAATTATCTATCTGTCTATCCATCTATCTATCTATGGTTGCGTTTGTCAGTCTCTCTAGCTTTGTAGTCTATTTGTCTTTTCTGTCTGTCTGTCTTTATCTACCTGTCTCTCTGCCTATCTATCCATCTATCTATCTATTTCCTTATCTATCTATCTCTTTATCTATCTCCTTGTTTCAATCTGCATCTCTATCTCCATTTCTCCTGTTCTTTTTTCCTCATATATCACTCACTCACATTTACTCCTTCCCATCCTCGCATCTTTGACCCCGTGAAACCCTGAATACGATTCCTGTCTGTCTCGCCGACGTGACCTCTGACCTCTGACCTCTCTCCCCGCAGATCTTGACCGCCCCCTCCCCCCATCCCCTCCATCCCCTCCCCCCCTTCACACACACGCATCTTACGTCATGTTTCCATTATTAAAAGGTCAAGTTGTCCTTGTTTCTGGCTCTTGTGGCCCTCTTGGGTTGGTGGTCTTGTGTGGGCGGGTGTGGGTGTGGGTGTGGGCGGGTGTGGTGGGTGAGGGTTTTGTTTGTGGGTGTGGGCGCGTGTGAGTGTGGGCGGTGTTGTGGGTGGGCGGTGTGTGGGTGGGCGGTGTTGTGGGTGGCGGGTGTTGTGGGTGGGCGGGGTGTGGGCGGTTTTGTTTGTGGGTGTGGGCGGGTGTGGGCGTGGTGGTGTAGGTGTTGTCTGTGGGTGTAGGGGGTGTGGGTGTAGGCGGCGGTGTGGATGTTGGGCGGTGTGGGCGGGTGTTGTGGGTGGGCGTGTGTGGGTGGGGCGGAGTGGGTGTGGGCGTGTGTGGGTGTGGATGTTGTTTTTGAGGGTGTGAAAGGTTTTAGGTGTATGTATGTATATTTTATTTCACATATATTTATTCCTTCATTTTTTCTCTGTTTCAACTATTGACCTTTTGTGGGCGGGTTTTATTTGTATATATTTTCATTTTTCGTGTAGACTTATTTTCTTTCTTTTTCTTTTTTTCTGTATTATTGATTTGCCAGTCTGGGGTTTATTTTTTATACATTTTTTGAGATTTCATTATTTTATTTATTTATTATTTTTATGCGAACTTTTTATCATTATTTCAGTCGATTTGCATGATAAGAGTTTTAAGATTTACGATATTTTTATTTATTTTATTATTTTTTAATGTTATTTCACTGTTTTTTTTTTTTTTTTTTTTTTTTATCTTACATATATATATTTTTCTCTAATTATTGACTTCATTGATTGTGTCTTATTGATAGTGTGATATATTCTTGATTATTAAATATTCTTGAAAGATGCTTCTGATCCAAGCTATTAATCCTTCCCGTTTCTTATCTCTCCTCTTCCTTTATCCTTTATTTTGTGTATTTTCTTTCCTTCGACCCTATCTGTTCTTTCCTCCCTTGTTGTTTATTATTATGTGTCTTTGTTTCGTTTTTTTTTTTCTCTTTTCTTCTCCCCTTCTTTATATAATTTGCTTTCTTCTCCTTTTTTCGACTTTCCCCTCTCATCTTCTTCTTTTCTCCTTTTTGTCTCTTATTTTCCATTTTCTCTATTCTCTGTTCTGTATTTTGCTTCATTCCCCATTTTCCCATTTCTTCTGATTTATTCTTATCCTCCTCTTCCCCTTTCTTCGTCTTTCTCCTTGCCGCTTGTCCCTATTCTTCTTCCCTTTCCATTCAATTCCCCATCCTCCTTATCCTCATTTCTTATCCCCCTTTTTCCATCTTTCCCTTTCCCTTTCCTTCTCCCTTACCATCTTTCCCCATCCTCCTCTCTCCCCCATTCCTTCCCTCTCCCTATCCCCCACCACCCCTCTTCCTCCCCCCAACCCCACCCCACCCTCTCTCTCCCTCACCCCACCCCACCCTCTCTCCTCCCCCAACCCACCCCACCCCTCTCTCCTCCTCCCCCAACCCCACCCCTCTCTCCTCCCCCCAACCCCCACCCAACCCCTCTCTTCCTCCCCCCACCCCACCCCACCCTCTCTTATGTCAAGTGTGCTTCTGACACGGCGCTCTGTAAGTCAACCCATGTCCTTGTTTGTCTTTCCAGGGGCCCCTCATAGCCGCCTACGCGAATGGATATCACTGAGGAATAGATCATGGTACGTATGAACGTTTATGGCTGAGAACGTTTAGGTTAAGAACGTTTAAGGTTAAGAACGTTTGAGCTAAGAACACGTTTAGGAGAACGTTTAGGCTAAGAACACGTTTAAGGCTGAGAACGTTTAAGGCTGAGAACGTTTAAGACCGAGAACATTTTGGCTGAGAACGTTTAAGGCTGAGAACGTTTATGGCCGAGAGCGTTTAAGGCTAAGAACGTTTATGCCGCTTGTGTTTGCACGGGCCTTGCTAACGGTCGGCCATTTATCATTCATCTCATTAAGTAGTTTATTCGCGCCCCCGTCTGTGTGTACTCTTTAAACGTTTCACACATGTCGGGGCGTGGCTCTGTTGTGTGGAATATATCCGTCATGGATTATTTTTAAATGGATAAGTCAGTTTGATTTTGCTTTATAAATCACTGGAGGTCTTGTGAGATTTTTGTCTTTTTGTTGTTTATGGGTTTTATCTATTATAGAGGGGATTTGAGATTATTTTTTTTGAAAATGGTAATTGGTAAAATAAATTTAGAAGGGAACAGGAGGGTTTGTAGTCTAAAATGTCAGCTGTTTCAATATTAGTCTTTCGCCTTCGGAATTCTCTGTGCGAATGGCTGTGTATGAATCTATTTTAAGTGCGCATATAACTCACCTTGGTTCTCTTTGCTTTGCTCCTCGCAGATAAGTTGTGAGTCGCAGTTTAGTTGTCATTTTACAACCATGGAGACTGGCTTGGTGGTTATTCTTCCTCCACTGCGGTGCGGCCACGTGTGGTCACGCAACCGCGTCACTGCTGTTTTACCACTACCACCACCACCACCACCACCACCATTTCCAACATTAAAAAACACCACCAGAGCTCGGGTCGTCTCCGCCACCACGGTGAATGCTGGCAGCCCACTCCGCCAGTGTCCGCCACCACTTCTGCTCCATCTTCACCACCACTACCACCACCACCACTCCCTTTCACCTCCTCCTCTCCACAACCCGCCTCGCACCCCCACCATCCCCCGCGCCCCTCTCCTCATCCTTCTAGAGCTCGAGTGAGGAGGCGCGGCACCCACCACCAGACCCCAAGACTCCTCCAAAGCCTTGAGGAACTCGACATACACACACATGCATAAAAAAAAAGGATGGGACTTCCTCCTCCTCCTCCTCCCCTGTTCCTCCTCTCTCCACCACAACCACCACCTTCTCCACCACAACCACCAACCACCTCCACCTCCACCTCCACCACCACCTTCGTCCTCGATCTCACAATGCATCCGAACCCTGGCTCCTTCGGCACGGTCCTAGTACTCTGTCATTTGTGTCCCCGGGATCACGGCCGCCGGAGGGCCCCCTCTGCGAGCCCCTCTGCGAGCCCCGCTGGAAACCCGTCTGGAAGAAGTCTATGTAGCTATATACGCCCGTGCTACTTGCTACTTATCTTCGTTTTAATCCCCGGAGTGCCATTTCGCCTCCGACTACGACTTGGCACCAAGCCTTCATATAATAACAAAACTTTAAAAAAAAATACAAGCTTTACTGCAGTGGTAAATGACATACTATTGTTATTGCATGTCACAGTGACTCGGAAGTTGGTATTTATATATAAATATATATACACACACAGACAACTGTGGCTAGCCATTTAAGTTTTTGTGTACGTGAAAGAAGTGTTTGCATCCATCGAGACAGTGTTCAGGTTGCTGTACAACTTGTGACGGGGTTTGTCATTTTGAAGAAGGAAAGAAAGGAAAAAAAAAGGTTTAGTGCGAGCAGGAAAATATGATTCTCTCTCTTTTTTTATCTCTTCGAAACACCGTCGATGGAAAAACAGCGTCCCAGCGGACCATAGAGTTCAAAATAGCTGATCTCGCCACAGAAAAAAATATGAATTGTAGTCTGATCATGTTCACACCTCATAGAGATTAATTAGAAAAAAAAATGTACAGGGTAAAAAAAGGAAAAAAAGAAAAGGAAAATACTACAACAACAAAAAAAACAAAGAACAAAGCAATGGTTTTTAGAGAAAGAAAGAAAAGCAGAATTTTCAAGACAAGAAGATATTTTGTGTCCGTCGCCGGCGAAGATGGAATACCTCTATCTCTCTGCCTGTCATAGGGCTGTTTCATTTCCTTGTTAACTAAGGAAAATGAGCTTTATTGCAGAGCTACAAGAAGGATCATGTTCGTTGGCCAAGTCACATTTCCACATTACTGGCATGACAGGGTAAGCTTAGGAGATATATATTATTTTTCTCTGAATTTTTAAACTAAGTTCAAAGTTGAAAACCTCAAATGCGCTTTTCACTTAGTTGTTCATGAAGAGTTCAATGCAAATAGAGGCTTCTGTACAATATATAAAGAGGATTATTGTTAAATTTGCATTGATAGAAAATCTTGTACTTATTGTTTTTTTTCTCTCTGTTTTTCTTTAATTTCTACATCTTTTATTGTAGATGGTTAGAGTTCTTCCCCATTTTCATTAAATGACCTTTAGGCCTTTACTTTTTTAAAAGTTCTTGTTGGAAAGACGATTAGTTAAGGATTCATATGTTTAAAGAAAAGTCTAAATGGAATCTCTCTTTAGTAATGTAATAGTTGCTCTCCTCTTTTACAAAAAACAAAAAACTTTTTCAAACTTATTGAATACAAAACAAATGAAAAAGTTTTTGCATCAGGTTCGGTTATTACAAATTGGAGGTAAAATGACCTGATGCCTAGGTTATGTAAATAAAAACAAAAGATGACAAAATAATAATAATAATAATAATAATTAATAATTAAACTAATAATAATAATGTACCGGTAACTTGAATCTTCCCATCAGATGCTTGAGGCGGATAACCGCAGCTCGACCTATTTCGATGCTCCCCTTCCGGTCGCGGGTGGAAAGGCTGAGAACCTTCTAGAACCTTCTAGAACCTTCTCGAACCTTCTCGAAGATTCCCGGGAAGATTAGCGTTCAGAGGCCGACCATCTTTCACTTCCCTTCTCGTTTAGCGGGTGTGCGCTCTCGTGTGCGTTCGTGTGTGTACGTACGCGTATGTTGTGTTATGGGATTTGTACGTGTATGTATATGCTTTTTTTTAAGTGTATACGTATGTGTATGTTCTCGTAATGCGATGTATGAGGGATATGTACATTGGCGTACAGATTGCGTGCACATCCATGCAAATCTATTCATATTTCACGGGGAAATGAAGAAAAAAAGAAAAAAAGGCAGAAATATCATAGACCCTAAAATTCACCTGAGCTGAGAATCTCTGCTTCAAGCACGCTGATGAACATACGTCAAAATACTTCAGTATATTTTTTGTAACATCGCAAAGCAACCGATATAGAAGATACTGCAAAGCAATAGACCAGGTTTATATACTGAGCGGCAGGTTCTTGGCCTGTTGTTGAAACTGTCACGGGATTAGCTCTGGTTGAGACCCTTTCTTGCAAATTTTTGTTTGTGGTTTGTTCTGTTGTTATATTTTTTTGGAATTCTTTTTGATTTTTGATTCGAGCCGCCCATCTTAAAGAAATAAGGTGTGAGAAGTGAATGTCTTTCATGTAGAGATGTAGACACGTGGATGCAGATTGTTGTATTATTATTATTTTTTTGTTCGAAACTTTTTATTTTAAAAAAGCTTTATTATACGAACACAAAGTTTTCGTTCCGAGCATATTTTACATGTGAGCATACTCTTTACGCATTTTCGATTTTAAATTAAAAGTCCAGAACGATATATTTCAGGATATGTAAAAAAAAAATAATAGTTTTCAGATATTCACAAAGTAGACCTACCATATATTACCAACCAGTATATTATAAGACGAAAAAATAATAATCAAACTACTTCCTCTCTGTACAATGCGTTCACTCTGTTAGAAAGTATGTGATCTCCTTGTTGGATCGACTGTTGTAGCTGAACTGTAGGCATAGCGAGTCGTCTTTTCAGCCATGCTCACTCCACCTGATCATCTCCACAATGGCTGTGTCAGATCTTCGCATTGCGTTAGGTACATTTACGAGAAGAAAAAAAAAATGCGTTAAACCTTGGATGCAATGAGTGTGGCGTCGTCTTGCCGTCGCGAGCTCTTCGAAGTGACCCCTTTTGCGAAGCCAGGTGGGCCCCCCCTCATCGCACCCCCTACCCCCCCACCCCACCCCTCGCGTGTTGCGTTAAGGGCCCGTGGTTTCAAGGGGGCGGGAGGTGTTCTCTCGAGTGTCACAATGCCCGATCTCTCGCGCGAAAAAAGTCTACGGACTTGTTTTGCCACATTTCATTAACAAGGCTCCGTCACATGTTCTCCGTGGGTTGTGTTGGAACTTTTTTATGATACTTTCAAAGTTTATTATCAAAGTTGCTGCCTACTGGTATAATTAGAATTTATAATATAGTGTATAGAATGTGTTTTTACTCTATAATTTTTATTGTTTCGGAAAGTTTTTGAAGTCTGCAGTCTATAATGTTGGAGGTTTTCTATGCAACTGTTATCATTATTATTATTTTGGTTAAGACTTTGTATTTGACCTGTAGCTAAGATCCCGTAGTTCCCCCCATCACTATGTCAGATGATGTAAATATAGACTATTGCATTAGTGGAAATATAGGCAGATCATTGGTCAATAGATACTGTAAAGAATTTATGAATTTATGAAAATTATGTTGGAGTAGGTAACTGTTAGGTAGTACGACTCTTCAGGATGCAATATTGCGGTGTTGGTGTACCCGGTTGATGATACACTGATGGGCAAAAAATACTGTGTAAGAAATACTCGTAGATTATTTTTCCATCTTGTTAAAAAAGGAAATTACAAAGTTTTGGCTGCCCCCGTACCCCCCACTACCCCCCACACTCCCTTCTATTTCAAAAAAGAGAAAATAATAATTGTATGTCTGCGGTCTCCCGAGCGACTTTGAGCACTCTCGTGCCGCGGCAGACGTAGTAGTGTCGTTGTAGTCGTCATCGTCATCGCCATGGTGACTGGTCTTGTCTCGTTATGGTGACGCTACCAGCAGTGAATGGTCTCCGTTGGCCTTTTCGCGACGCCGCCCGGAGACCCCGTCAGCACGCGTGGGAGACTGGACCGAGAAATGCTGGAAATACCGGAGGCTAATGGTTTAATGTTAACGTCCTATATATTCATATGTAATGTAAATTTTATGACAATGTAAACGTAGGTGTAAGCTATTAAAAAAAAAACGGAGCTATGAACACGTTGCGAATGATTTCAATATTTAGTAGCTAGTCTTGCAGGCGAAAAAAAAACATTGTTAAGTGTGTTTTAACTGTTCATGGCCTCCACTCGCTGTTGTTAATTTATACCGTAAGATGGGTGAATATTATAATAACATATTTCTAGGATAAATATACATAAACATAACCACATGTATTCTTGGCAGACTTGAGTGGCGTTCCCATGGCAACCGGATCGTATTTTCGTCAACGTTCCGAGCTGCGACCTGATTGGCCAGCGATCTCTTTGACAGAGAGTTGTCTCGACCAATCACAGCCCGTGCCTCGCCATTGACGGAATAGGATCGCGTTTGCTATCCGAACCGTGTCTCGAGTGCATTTCAAAGTGATGGTTAAGGTGTCCTACAGGAAATTTTTAGTATTAGGCTGCCTCTCATGTGCGGGCAGGTGAAATAAATGATTAAAACAAACAAAAAAAATCAAACAAAAAACGAACACAAAAAAGTAAAAAAAAATATGTCAATAAAAATTACTAAAAAATATATATTGCCAAGTGCCGCGTCCCGGGAACCAATGAGATTTTAGCTTTATGCCCCCTTCGTGAGGGAAGAATTTATGATGAATGGAATAAAATCCAAAAAAAGAAGTTATGTTGTATTTTTTCAAAAGTACTTAAAATCATACCTATCATTCATTCCATTCTTTTTTCCTAATCATATGACTCATCTTTCTTCAAGAATGACCTAGAAATACACCAATACATAGATAATAAAACCAGTAGAAAAATCAGTAACAATAATAATAACGTCAATGAACTCTTAAAAAAAATATAATAGTTTCCCCTCGTGTGTTTTTTGGAAAACGGTTCTCCTTGGTTCCCGGGTTGGCTGTTTTCGCCTGAGTTGCTGTTGCTGCTTTCATGGTCTACAAACTATACAGTGTTTACGATTATGGGCTTTAGAGAGTTTGGTCCTAAGGACTCCATTCTTTATAGAACCAAAAAAAAAAAAAAAAAAAAAGATGGAAGTTTGTATAAATTTTTATGTGCAAGATTTCTTCTCAAATGTCAAGGCATCATGTCGCGAGTTTTATTTTATTTTTTTGTTTTTTTGTTTTTTTTATATAATCGTGTTTTCTGTATTTTTTTTTAAATTATTATTTTTTGGATATAG